AGCCTGTATTTGATTTCTGGTGTTCTATCTGAAGCAATACATGTTTGGTTTTTCTGCCTAATTGCTTCAAGGTTTTCAGGCTTGCTCTTATACCATGGTTATTCATTGCAGAAGGATGAAAGAGTGTCAAATCATTTTGATTTTAAGTGGCCTGTCACTGCTGAGGTTGAATGTTTGGCATGGAACCCTCACACAGAGTACTCATTTGTGGTTTGCGCTTCAGCTTTTACTTGGGTCTAATTTCTTGGTGTCGTATCACTTATCTATTTGTTCCATTTGAAAATAGAGAAGAAAACCATGCTTGTTAATTGGGTGCATATAAGAATATTTAAGTTCAGGTAAGTCTTGATGATGATACAATAAAAAATTATGACATTTTAACTGTCAAAGTGGGATTCATATTCTGAGTCAAAACCTAATTTTAATCTCCATGCTCGTTGCAAATCTGCTTGCACCACTTCGTATAATCCTGCATCAATAAATGTACAAAGTTATGCCTTTCTCGTTCCTTGGTCAGATTATATATTTTTGTGGAGCATGACATCTCTTCTTATTTTTCTAACTTCTCGTGGACAAAACGGTAAATGAAAGTTTTCTTGAAGTGCTTTCATGTTCTGTTATAGTTGTGAATACAGTTTAGGTGGTTTCATTGGTTGATCTCCATTTTTGCATAGTTAAATCTTTTTGGGGATTAATACAATACTACCCTGCAGGATTAGAATACATTATCCAAGACAGCCGTATGAAGAAAAATTTGGGAACTACAGCCAGTGCCGTATCTGGGCCTGGGCAGGAGGGGCACCTGCCCAGGGCCTAGAATTGTTATAATGTATTATAGGGCCCCAATAATTTGAAATATTTGTTATTATGGTTTTAATTTTTTTCTAATATTTATTATTTTGGGCTTATTTTTTTAATATTTATTATTAGGTACTATTTTTTTATAATTTATTTTTTCTAATATTTGTACAAGTGTCTAGTTTTTTGCCAATATTTTTTCAAACATTTGTTATTAAATGTCCATTTTTTTCAATACTTATTATCATGAGTCCAATTTTTTTAATATTTGTTATTAGGGGCACACTTTTAAAATTCAAATTTTTTATAATATTTATTTGTAGTTATGAATCTAATTTGTTTTAGTACTTTTTATCGGAGGTTCAATTTTTTAATATTTGTTATTATGAGCATATTCTTAAAATTTACTTTTTTTTTAATATTTGTTATTAGGGACTCATTTTTTTCCCAATACTTACTATTATGAAGCTATCCTTAAAAATTATTTTTAACACTTATTATTATGAACAATTACTTATATGTAACCGCAACGATGAATGTTATGCAAACACTGTCCAAAACTGCAATATCAACAATCGTTATGTCCAATGTAGTATATGTTATTAAAAATCCATAACTACAATACTTGCAGCGACTATAATATCATTTGTTATGTTCACAATAATGATAAACATAATGGGATCGAAGATACAAATACAAATTATAATTTAAACATATGATTATGGCCTAATTTTTTAATTTGTACAGGATCACTAAAATCTTAAACTCATGGGATGGGATGTGAGAATCAAGACAAGTTTTCATAGTTTTTCTTAGTGTGTTGGGAGAGTTGCTGAATACTTGTATGTCCTGTATTTTTTTTCTTCTTGAAATCATTTGTAATTGCTTTCAATTTTGTTGTCCATATCTACTTTTAACTACTTTTAAAGGTAATGTTTACAAGTTGTGATATTTTAATTATATTATTTCATTGTATTTAAATCATATTATTTCATTGTATTTAAATCAATAGATAATTTATATTATCTATAAATTTAATTTGACATACTTATAGATAACATTGTATTTTATATTAAAAATGTTGTACAATATATTTTATAAAATAAAATTATTTTAATAAAATTTTAAAAATCAAAATATATGTTTGTTTACTAAAAACATGTTTCCGGAAATTTTTAAAAAAAATAATCAAATAGCGGAAAATATTTTACACTGTTACATCCAAACAATGGAAAATATTTTCCAGAAATTCCAGAAATCCGGATATGTAATTCATTTTCTGGAAAATGTTTTCAGTAAAACAAATAGATATATATTACACTTTTTAAATATTAAAAATAAAACATAGAAATCAATTTTTTGGGACATGAAGCAATCAATGTTTCGAATGATAAACAAAAAGTAGAAAGCTTTGAGAATAAATTAGATATAAAATCATTGTTCAAAGACCTATTTGATGTTTAAGTGATCAATTTGTTATTTTTCGAAACTTCAATGGAAAAAATAAATACTTATTCAAATATTAATGATCATTTGTGTAGTTTATCCTTTTTAATTTTATAAACTCATTGTACCACATCAGCAATTCGTTAAAGGTCTAATAGTAGTTAATTCTCGATAATCACATCTTAATGAAATAAAAATAAAAATGTCAAAATATTATATTTATCTAATTCAATGAAAAAATATATATAAAACTTAAATGGAAGTAATCGATTTTACAGTTTACCTTTTTTTTCTTCCATAAATTTGAATTTAGTTGGGACTTAAATCCTAAGTGGGACAAATAAACCGCATTGTCTTTGACGACGATAATTGGCTATAGGTTGAGTAGAATATCACATTTCATTTTAAATAGATTGAAATTTCTGAACTTAATTTATGCAAAGGGGAGTTGAATGTTAAATGGTAGCAACTAGATATTTATTACCGTCGTCTCTTTTCATTTGTTATTGAAACCTAACTACACTGAATTGAAACAATAAAATTTTAAATTATTTAATCAAAAAATTAATTATTTTTTTAAAATATCTTTTATAACACTTTTCAGATCACATTTCAAACTTACTTTTGAATAGAAATAAAAAATAATGCATATTAATAATTCGAATGGGTTGAAATATAAATTAATTTTATGTATTTCACTCTACTGAAATAAAATTCCTATTCTTTCAACAAAAAAGAAAAAAAATGAAATTCCTACGAATTATCTGATTCATGGATAAGTCTAGTCACATGACTCACTTTTAGGGATGGCAAACGGGTACAATTTCGTGGATTCCGCACCGCACCCGTTCTAATTGGGGCGGGGATGGGTATAATTTTAGTTGGTAGTGGGCGGGTGTAGATTTAGAAAGTGGTACCCATCGCGGGTAGTGGGCGGGTAACCCGCCCCGCATCCGCCCGCCCAGCTAAATATTCATTACATTTTGGACATTATGAATTTAGGTGTAATTTTAGAGACTAATTTATAAATTCTAATAATGTATAAGATATAACTTGTTATTTAACCAAATATTAGAGATAAGTTAAGTTTATGCATAATTTTTTTCCTTTCAAACCTCTCATTTTCATTACTGCGTCGATCTTCAAAGGCAGTCTGGGTTCTACGTATTTCTCAATTTCATATGTTACTATTAAATTTTTGTCGATCTTCAAATGATGTTGGATTGTGTGATGTTTTTGGTATAAAGGATTCACTGTCTTAGGATATTGGAAGGGATTGCATAATAAAATACTCGTTTTTTTAGTTAAAATGTCGAAATCTTATATCAATCTGCATGCATTGATACTGGTTGGAACAATTCAAAACTTATCGAACTGTGGAAACGTATTGAAATTCGGATTGGAATGGAGTTTAGATTATTTGATATCAGTTTGGGGCAAAATGAGTAAGTATTAGTTTTATTTATGTGTTTGTTGTTTATGTATAACTTAAGTTTGTTGTTAAGCGGGTCTAGTCAGGTACATCTCTAGTTGGATAGTGAGTGTGGGGATGGATTTAAGAATGTACCCGTGGGCGGGTGTGGATTTGAAAATTTTTACTCATAATGGGTGGTGGACGGGTGGTGGATTAAAAAATATTAGATGAGTATGGGGATGAGGAGGGGGTATTCGCACTCGACCCACCCGTTTACCATCCCTACTAACGTGGTCCCTTCCCTTCGAGTCTGCAACTTTTACAGCCTGCAGTTGCTAGCCAGGGTATCAGAAATGAAAATTAGATTCACCCCTCAATTTCATCAACTTTTATTTATTTTTAAAATTTTTGGTCTAGTTTAGGAATGGGTGAGTTGCGGGAAATCCTTGTGTATATTTATCAAACATCTCTAATTCTCTTCAATTTAGGACTTTAAAATATCGTTTGAGTATAGTTGAGATCAACTTGACTCTAAAATTTATGAGTTTAAAATTGTCTCGAAATAAAGAATTAAAACTCAATTTGACTCGAAAATTCGTGAGTTTAAAATTTTTAAATTTCATTCGTAATAAAAATTAAAACTTGACAGAACTCGAACTCGAACCTTAAGTACATAAAAACAGTATATTATACTTTTTGAAAAATAGCATATAAATATTAAATAACGTTCTATGATAGGATGACTATTTTTGTAATTTATCCTAAATTAAATGCTAGTATTAGTGATGTAAATGTTGTGATATGATAGTAGTATTTTCTTTTCTTATCTTACCAAAGCTATACATGGTCAGACAAACAGACACTGTGAGTCAATGTTTCATAAAACTTAGATTGAAACTCTCTTCTGGTCCCCACCCCCTTTCGTCTCAAATTCCACACACCACCAATCGCATGTTCCCATGGGTCTGTATCTCTCTTTCCGATCCTCACTCTCTGTTTGAGAGCGCGTGTTGGACTCCCTCTAATTATTATGATGGACGACGTATCAGTTTGACGTTTGGGCAAGAACGGTTAGGTTGGTGAAAGGTGTTTTGACATTAACCTTTAAATGATATCATAATCACAAAATTTCTTTGATTGCAGATGACCTAATAAATCCGTATTCATTTAAGGGTAACATAATTGGTAATAAAAGAAAATTCGCTAAGCGCGTGACACCACAACCATGAATTGGGGGAACCGGTAATAGACGGATCTAAAAAGACCCCGAAGTCCCCACCAGAACATTTCTTACCAAACCAGAAGCTCTTCAATCCCTTGGGTCAGTCCTTAACCTCTCCCACTCTTTCCTTTCTTCTTTAACTCCCCTCTTCTTCCCAAAGACCAGACACCCTCGCCAAAGAATAATAAAAAAAATCCTAAATGGAGATCTCCCCGAGGCGGAGCTCGAATCCGAGTTTCCTTCCATCTCCGAAAAGCCTCAGCCCCAACAGTAGCACCAGCAGCACAAGCAGCGGCAACAACAATACCGGCGCACCTCCGCCGCCTCATCAGCCCAAACCCATCACCAGATCTGAATCAGCGAACCCCTGCCCGACAACCTTCGTCCAAGCCGACACTTCGTCTTTCAAGCAAGTCGTTCAGATGCTCACCGGATCTTCCGAGACCGCCAAGCTAGCTTCTTCCATCAAACCAACTCCTTCCCCTCTATCCGATCCAAACCCGAACCCGAAAACCCATATCCCTCCCATCAAATCCATTCCCAAAAGCAAGCAGAATTCTGGGTTTAGGCTTTACGAACGAAGGAGCTCACTCAAGAATCTCAAAATAAACCCCTTGAACCCGGCTTTTAACTCCAACACTTCCGGGTTTTCACCTCGGAAACCCGAAGTACTCTCCCCTAGCATTCTTGACTTCCCTTCTTTGGTTCTTAGCCCGGTCACTCCTTTGATATCCGACCCGTTTGATCGATCTGGAGCTGGAAATTACCCGAATTGTGCCAATAATAATGCGAAACTAAATAAGGAGGCTGAAGAGAAAGCAATTAAAGAGAAGAGTTTTTATTTGTATCCATCACCGGCATCTACGCCGCGAGATTCGGAACCTAGGCTTCTCCCACTTTTTCCAGTTACTTCACCTCGAGTTTCAGGTTCTTCCACTTCTTCTTGAACTAAAATAAATTAAAACTTTTTCTAGTTTTCGCTTTTTAACGTTATTATTGTAAGATTTTTACATATTGTTGGGGCACTGAAGATGGGGATTGGAAAGGAAGAGGAAAATCCAAGATAAGCTCTGTAATGTTGGTTGTCGGACACTTTCAAAGGAATGAAGATAAAAATCTTTGCTTCAATCGTAAAACTCTATGCTTTGTTTGACTTTTTATTTTTATTTTCTTATGTTTGGTTGCTTGAAATTCAAGACTTTTGAGTGAGGAAAACAAGAGGATAAATGAAAATTCGAGACTTTAGTGGTTAATGTATGTGGTCGATGACTATGAACTCAACTTAAGGAGCGAATCAGTGCCCTTTTTTTTGACCTTTTAGGCAGCCCCCGTCAAGTTCTTTACCTAATCGATAAATGCAAAAGGTAAAAAAAAGTGAACGAGTCTTGGATCCTAAATCAGTACCATTTGCTCTTGAAGACTTCGTAGGAAGCGCAGATGATTAACAGAGAGAGAGAGAGAGAGAGTTGGAATCGAAAGAAAGTTTTGTTTGCATCAAATCAAATGGCAAAAGCAGCTTTGAGGCTAGCTGTCGTAGAAAGAGTAGATAAATGGGCAAGGAATCTTGACTCTTTGTTTTTTGTTTTCTCCTTTTGAGAAGGCAAAACATAGATGCTATGAAAGATGCAGCCATTTTTATGTGTTTTTTTTCCTTCTTTAATTACAACTTCCTAATTACTCTTGATTTACGGTTGTCTCTGCTATATTGATCCTGTATGTCTGTGGGTAGATCCATCGTAATGAGTCATATTGGGGGTATGAAACCTGTTCCATTCAATCTTTTCCTTTTGACGCCAGCGTCTAATAGTGAAATTTAAAACTTACAACTTTAGTGACTTTTGATTTTCACACATAAGGAGGTGTCAGTTAAGCGTATGTGGGTGGTGGGTCTAATATTTTCAATAAGAAAAGCAATAAATCTAGTGGCCTTGTTGACCAATTTCAGCCGCACAAGGGTATTTTATTAGGACAATGAACTCAAATGGGTCCACATGGATAAGAAGGGGTGGAAGGAAAGAGAAAGCAAATGACCCCATTTTTTCTTTTTTGAATCTTTCTTTCCTTTGAGTAGCCCGAGTTAGAGGGTACTTTTAATATTACAAGAAAACTCTGAATTGTTTTAAAAACAATCATACAAAAGTAGTTCCTCTTTATTTGAATCTTGCACTCAAACATTGTTTAGAGTCCCTACATTTGTTGACTAAAAGAAAAAAAAAGTCCCAAACTGTTGTAAATGGTGACATGGGAAAGTGCTGGGGAAGTGGGACTTGTGATGATGAAAGGCAAGAAAAGAAAGAAAAACCAGGAAACATGGCCCGGAGGGTCACCTGTTACGTTTTGTTGTCTTAGGGTAATAGGGTTGTTTGTTTCATGCGACTGTGGGTATTGGTTTGAACAACTCTTCTGCACAGTGCGGCGGTTGGTGGGTCATTTAATTTTATTGGCAATATTGAATCTTCCATGTGCACTGTTGCCGGACATTTTACCAAATTATGTATTACATCATCTCAGATCAAGCGGGTCCTCTGCACATCGTTCCTTCCCCCAGATTTTCAGCTATTTCAACTTAGCCACGAACTTGATTTAAACATTCAACAGTGAACCCATCTTACTTTTATTATTAAAACTAGATTCGAATGTTCACATTGGAGCGTCATCAAATTTGTTTGTGGCAATGCAGTTGTCCAGAATTATAATGTTGAGGATGGATTCAAGTTCAACATTTCTTACAAAAATGACGTTTGAAACACGAAAGAAGGTTAAATTAAAGATGGTGTCTATACTTTGTCAACAATAAATTTTAAATAAATGTTATCTTATAATAATTTTATAGTATTATTTTAAAAAACAATTTGTATCCGTATACATACAAATATTTAACATATATCCCCTAAATCTTTAAATAATATTAGGGTATTCCAATTTTCTATATTTTTTTGAGTCATTTAATCCTTGGAAGATAGTACCAAGAAATGACGAAAACGTGGCCCCACCAGTTCGTATATCTCCAAACTGTCAAACCCCAAAGATGATAAGGGTACGTATGACTTCCACAGACCCCGCAAGCAACAAATATCTTATCGACGAGTCTATTTTGTTCCCATCTGCCCTCTCGAGTTGTTCCGTCCGTATTAATCAAAATATGATGCATCAACGGCTGCACAAATTATAATTAAGCCGACAACCTTAGAAGCAAAGTTAATGATGATGCTTGGCTTATCCCAAAATAGTCAACTGTTTAATTCATAAATCCATCCAAATGAACTAGTATATTTTAGCCGACTAAAAACACAGAGAAATATATTATAAATAGCTTTTGTCATTTTTTAAAAACATTTTTCAATCAGTAATAAATTATGTCAGTAAATTCATTTTTAAAAGTTTGAAAATAAATAAACCCAATAATCTATTTAAAAGTTCATGTCAGTTATGGATTCGGTACTTGGGTATGGCTAATATAAATAAAATTATGTAGTTTATTTATGTTAATTAATTGCTATTGAGTTATATTGGAAAATAAATCCACGAAACCCATTTTATTGAAACCGATTCCATCTGACCGAATGGGACCAATTTTCCCAGCTTCCACAGTTGTGGTAGGGCCTGCTGTGTCCTTTCCATCTCACTCTTACTATGCACAAACATTAGTTCGGGTTTTAAGAGGATTCTCCAGACTTGGGCTCGCAAAAATAAATAAATAAATTATGATCCATTTTAGATATAAAATGGAACCCATATTATGTTTTATTCCAGGCAAATGGAATCCCAAAACTTATACCATAATCCATCGTGAACATTTTAACCAAAACAGTTGATGACACAGCTTTCTCTCAGGGTTTCAAAGCTCGCACATTTAACATATGCATAGAATTTCCCTTAAACTTAATGGCAGTTTAAAAACATTTGATAATTTTGCATGCATGAATGTGTTGGGAAAAATGAATTATATTATGATGGATTTAACATTTATATTAAATTCATATTCCATTGAATATTATAAATTAAAAGATTTTTTTTTAATTTGAATCTTTAATTTAAATATTAGTAGAATAAATACTCTTTGAATATGTCAATTTAAAAGGTCTTTATTATCTATTTACCTTTGAATATTAAAGATAATTATATATTAAATATTTCAAATTAAAATAATATCTATTTAAGTTTGAATAGTAAAAGAAATTTATATCTTTTGAATATTTAAAATTAAAATATATTACTATATGTTTAAATTTGGATATTAAAAGATATTTGGTTGGAGTAAAAACTATCTTAAAATCCCCTAAATATCAAGCTAACATGTTAGGTTTTCCATATATCAGAGTTCGAGAACTTTTATTTTCTTGATAAAACTATTTTCTCTCATTCTTAGTTTTCTGGTGATAGACGAAGGCAAAGATATTTCATGATCTCTACTGTTGTTCTTGAAAAAAAAATTCTCTCATTTTTAGTTTTCCGGTGATAGATAAAGGCAAAGATAGTTCATGATCTCTATTGTTGTGCTACTGTAGTTGATTATTTGTGTAGTGACAGGCCTCAATTGTTTAAAGATCTCGAGAAATACGATGAAAAGATCTCGAGCACCTAGGAGTGGTCGAAAATCTGTCTTAAGGAATCTGTGTAGTGACAGGCCTCAATTGTTTCCGATTAAAAATAAAAGAGTATTTTTTTCTATTTATTATTAAAGAAATTTGATTTCTTCTATTTTGTTTTTCTCAGGTTCGATTTCGTCTAGGATTGTTATATTGAATAACAATCTTAAGACAAATGTATCATTCTTCAACCTTTCTTAATTCAAGATGATTCGAAAATTGTGGGAAAAGTGAGATAGCGAATAAATTTGTTTAAGGATTTATCTTGTCATCTTAACAGGTTTGTTAAAATCTCAAAGTGGACAAATCTTATAACATAAATTGTCGTGAAAGTAACTTTGGGTACTGATTTTGTTTCAGAATATTGGTTTTGTTCGATACAAAATATAAAATAAATGAGATTAATTTTTGTTTATTGGAATTATTTATAGTTCTGGTTCTGTTTCGTTTACAGAAAATGGAGACAATAGATTCTACTTTTATCCAACTTACAGACTACAATGATGATTTCAGTTTAGAATTCAAATTTGAATACGAGTCAACTGGCAGTGATAGTTAACCACAACAAGAATCCAACAAAATTCTATGAAAAGAAGTTCAAGATATGGTAATAGAATAGTTTTTCTATCTGAGTACGATGAAGCTCTCTAAGTTCTTGAATGAAGATACCCTATATTTAAAGTGGTAGAAAGGAAGACTGATTATATAATCGGAATGTAATACTAAATAATCTACAAGATTCTCTATATCGGATATATATTGGTTATGAAACAACAAAAATTATGGGAGACATCACTATAATACAAAGCTGAAGATGTTGGAGCTAAAAAAAATTTAGTTGCCAAGTTTTTGAAGTTTACTATGGTTGACATATAACCAATAGTAAACAAGTGGAGGAAGTTCAACTACTTATTAATGAGATTTGTCGAAAGAATGTTCATAGTCGAATCCTTTCAGATAGTCGCTATAATTGAGAAATTCCTGGATGAAGTGACTTCAATAACTGAAGCAAAAAAGGAAGGAAATGACCGTGGAAGAATTGGTTGACTGACTTCGACTAGAATAAGACAATAGAGTCAATGCCAAGAAGCTCAAAGAAACCTTCAAAGAGACTAAGACAAACGTGATAGAAGTCAAGGACTTCAAGATATTCTTTAATTTGAATATTAATAGGATATTACTCTTTGAATATATCAAATTAAAAGGTATTTATCATCTCTTTAACTTTGAATATTAAATGTAATTATATAATTTCTAATATTTTAAATTAAAATAATATCTATTTAAGTTTGAATAGTAAAAATAGTTTATATATTTTGAATATTTCAAATTAAAAGATATTATTATTTGTTTAAATTTAGACATTAAAATATATTTGGTTGGAGTAAAACTCTCTTGAAATACATATAAATACTGAACTAATATGCTAGGATTTTCATATCTCAAAATTCAAGAACTTTTATTTTTTTGAAAAAAAAAATATTTTCTCTCTTTCTTAGTTTTCTGGTGATAGATGAAGGCAAAGATAGTTCGTGATATCTACTGTTGTGCTACTGTAGCTAATCATCTAGTTATTATATCCTGAGAGACAAATGACTA